CTCTTGATTTTGGCTCAGGTCATGATCTCAGGGTCCTGAGATAGAGCCCTGCATCAGGCTCCATGCTCAGTGGGGAGCCAGCTTGGGAATTCACTCCCCCTTTCTCCCTTTGCCCCTTCCCCTACTCATGTATGCACTCTCTCTCTCTCAAATAAATAAATGAAAATATTTTTTTAAAAATTGCCTTCTGATGTCTCCACTTGAATGATCCACAAGTATCCCAAACTCTGTATTTTCCAAACAAAACTCATTTCCATGAGAGCTACTCTTTCATTTAAATTCACCTTCGTAATGGATGACATCACCTTACACCCATTTCCTGATCCAGAAACTTCAGTGTCATACTTAATCCTTTCTTTTATCCTATCCTCAGATTAAATCAATTGCCACATCCTCTTGAGTCCAGTAAACTGTTAAAAGTCAAGATATATGCATCTTGTATTCCCTACATCAAACATATATACTGTAATACAGCAACCACTAAAAACTACATACAAAGAGATATGGTAAATAAAAGAGAAAATTTTAAATAGAATAATAAAAAAATTTTCAAAAACTCCAAAAGAAGTCAAGAAAAGGAAAAGCAAAGAAAAACAGAAGTCAAAAATGAAAAAAATAAAATAAAATAGGAGACGTAAAGTCGAACATCTCAATAATTACAGTAAATGAAAATAACATAAACACACCAAGTAAAGACAAAGATGATCAGATTTAAAGTTAAAAAATACTTAATTATAAGCTGCATACAAGAATCCCATCTTAAATTCATGACATAGGTAGGTTAGAATTAAAAGGATGAAAAATAATATACTATGTGAATACCAAGAAGAAGAAAACTGGGGTGCCTCTATTAATATTGAAGCCCACCTCAAAGAAAAGAAAACTACCACTGAATAATGATACAAGGGTCAATCCACAGAAAAGATACAACCATCTTTTTTTGAGAGAGAGAGAGAGAGAGAGGGAGAGAAAAAGGGAGAGAGAGAGCATGCACAAGCAGGGGGTAGAGGCAGAAGGAGAGGGAGAGAGAGAATTCCCAAGCATTCTCCCCGCTGAGCATGGAGACCAATGACGACGTGGGTCTCAATCTCATGACACTGACATCACGACATGAGCCAAAATCAAGAGTTGAACAATTAATCAACTGAGTCACCTAGGTACCCTAAGACACAACATTCTTAAATGCATGTATCTAACAACAGAGTTTCAAAATAAGTAAAAACTACTGACTGAGCTGGAAGGAGAAATGAATGCATCCATAATTATGTTTGGAGATGTGAATATTTACTCTCTTAATAACTGACAGGACAAGCACAGAGAGAGTCAGATAGAGAAGAACCAACTCCCCATCAAGGAACTGGATCAAATCTACTTTTGCAGAATACTTCATCCAAGAACAGCAGAATTCACATTCTTTTCAAATGCCAAGGAACAGTCACCAAAATAGACCATATTCTGGGTCACTAAATAAATTTGAAAAATTGAAAACTTCTAAAAGATATCCCTGAAGATAATGGACTTAAATTAGAAATTCACAACAAAAAGTCATCGGGAAAATCCCGCAAATACTTAGAAAATTAAAAAACAAAACAAAACAAATTTGTAAATAATCCATGCATTAAAGAGGAAGTACCAAGGGATATTAGAACAGTTTGAAATGAAGGAAAATGAAAACACATCTCCACATGTGTGGGATAAAGCTAAAGCAGTGTGTAGGGAGAAATGTAGTTCATTAAATGCATGTATGTGGAAAGGTGTCCTATAGGTGTCACAATCCACAATCTAACATTCTACCTTATGAATCTTATGAGGGAAAAAGGAATAAAATAAACCAGAAACAATCAGAAGGAAAGAAATACTAAAGATAGATATAATAAAGTTCAGAAATCAATGAATAGTAGAGGAAATTGACCAAACCAAAAACTGCTTCTGTGAAAATATCAATAAAATTGATATTCTAGCCAGACTAACAAAGAAAAGAAAAGACATGCATTACCAATATCAATACAAATAGAGACTATTACTACAGACCCCACAGACATAAGTGGATAATGAAGAAAAAATACTATGAACAACTTTACACACAAATTTGACAACTTAGTTGAAATGAACTGATTTCTCAAAAGCAACAAACTACCAAATCTCACCCAAGAAGAAATAGATGACCTTAATATTCCAATGTCTAAGAAATCAAATAAGTAGTTTAGTATATTCTGAACAATATAACTCCAGGACCGTGTGGTTTCATCAAAATATTAGCAAACCGTATATATTTGTGTGTGGCTTTACCCATCCCAACCACCCAAGTGAGGGTTATCTGGGCAGTACAGTCTGGGTCAACATTTGAAAATCAATATAACCTACCACATTAATATAGTAAAGAAGAAAACCACATGATCATACTATCTAATGTAGAAAAAGCACTTAGACAGCACCCAGTATCCATTTGTCATTTTTTTTAAGGCTCTCAGAAAACTTAGAAGGGATCCTCCTTATCCTGATAAAGGGCCTCTACGGAACACTGAAAGCTAACATCACACATAATGGTGAAAGGTTAAATGCTTTCCCTAAGACTGGGAACAAAGCAAGGATGCCCACTCTCATTATCGACTCAACATTGTGCTGGTAAGTCCTGACACTGCAAAAAGGCAAGTAAAAGAAATAAAAGCTATACAGATTGAAAAGAAAGAAAAACTGTATTCACAGAGGCTATGATTGTCTATAGAGGAAATTCCAAACAATCTACAAAAAAGAAAAAACTTCCAGAACTAATAGGTGAGTTTAGAAAGTTTGTAAAATAGAAGGTTGGTGTATAAACTGTTATTTTTAAATATGATTATTAATCATATCTATATATACTATCAGTGAAGAATTAGGAGCTGAGGTTTTAAAAACAGTATATTTGTGGTAAGTCCTTAAAAAATAAGATATTTAGGTGTAAGCCTAACAGAACATGTATGGGATCTGTATGCTGAAAATACATAAACACAGATGAAAAAAACTTAAACAAAAAGACACACCATGCTCACTGATTGTGAGACAACATAGTTCAGATGTCCATTATCCCCAAACCAACTGTAGCAAGAGCTTTTCTGTAGAAATTGAAAAGATCTAGAAATAGAAAAGATAATTCTAGGGTGCCTGGGTGGCTCACTGGTTAAGCATCTGCCTTTGGCTCAGGTCATGATCTCCAGGGTCCTGGGATAGAGTCCTGCATCAGGCTCCCCGCTCAGTGGGAAGCCTGCTTCTCCTTCTCCCTCTCTCCCAGCTTGTGTTCCCTCTCTCACTGTGTCTCTCTCGGTCAAATAAATAAATAAATAAAATCTTTAAAAAAGAAAAAAAAAGATAATTATGAAATTTATATGGGTATGTAAAAAAAAATAGCCAAAACAGTTTTGATGAAAAAAAAGAGTTGGAGGGTTCACACTAACCAATTTTAACATTTATTATAAAGCCACAGTAATAAAGGTATTGAGGTGAGGTATTAACAAAGGACAGATACATAAATCAATGGAAGAGAATAGAGAGTACAGACAGGGACCCACCTAAACATAATTGATTGTTTTTCAACAAAGGCATGAAAGCAATTCAATGGAAGAAAGATAGCCTTTTCAACAAGTGATGGTGGAACAATTAGACATTCATATGCAAAAAAAATGAACCTCAACTTATACCTCACACCTTATACAAAAATTAACACAACATGATAATAGATAAACTGTAAAACATAGACCATATTTTACATGGTAACATGGTTTTACATGGTTTTACAAGATAGGAGAGCTCTCCATGACCTTTATTTAGGCAGAGTTCACAGATATGACACCAAAAACATAGCCCATTAAAAATTATTGATAAATTGGACTTCATGAAAATTTAAAACTTTTTTTCTGCTATGAGAATGAAAAAACAGGCTACATATGGGGAGAAAAAAGTTGCAAATCACATATTCTGTAAGGGACTTTTATTCAGAATATATAAAGAACTCTCCAAATTCAGCAGTGATAAGACAAAAAAAATGGGTCAAGTATTTCAACAGCTGCTTTACCAAAGAAGATATATGAGAAGTAAGTAAGTGCATGAAAAGATGCTCAACCATCACTTGCTTATGGACATGCAAACTGAACCATCACCATTATGCACCTAATAGAATGGCTACAATTAAGGGGTGGGGACCCACCTAAAAATACTACCTGCTGACAAGGATTCAGAGCAACTAGAACTCTCATCCACTGTTGGGAAGAATAGTCCAGCCACTCTGCCCTTCAGCAAGTGATAAAGAAACCATAGATCATCAACACAATTTAATACTAATAAGAAAAAATAAAAGTGAAGTATTGCCACATATAATAATAGAGAAGTAATTCAGAAGCATTAAGCTGAATGAAAGAAATCAGAATCAAAAGGTTCTGTGGGGCACCTGGGTGGTTCAGTGAGTTGAGCTTCTGACTCTTGATTTTGGCTCAGATTATGATCTCAGGGTCCTGAGATCAAGTCCTATCCATGCTCACTATGGAGTCTACATGAAGATTCTCTCTTCCTCTCCCTCTGCTCCTCCCCCTTCCATGTTCACTCTCTTTTCTCAAATAAATGAATAAATCTTTTTTTTTTAAAAGGTTACATATGTATGTATGATTGTATGGAATCATTGTATGATTCCATTATATGACATCTATAGGCCAAAATTATAGAGAGAACCAAAACCCCATAATTTTATACCCAGTCAAGCTTTCATTTGTATAAAGGAAATGGCAGCACGTAGACATTTTCAAATGTGTGTGAACTTAGGAGCCAAGACACATTGTGGGGTTTCTTTTTCTTCAGATTTTTATTTAAATTCTAGTCAGTTAACACACACTGCAACATTGGTTTCAGGAGAATTCAGGGACTCATCACTTATATATCACACCCAGTGCTCATCGCAGTGCCCTCCTTAATGCCCATCCCCCACCTAGCCCCACCCCCACTTATCCCCCTCCTTCCACCCTCAGTTTGTTCTCTATATTAAGAGTCAAAGAGACAGTGGTTTTTTTTTTTCCTTTGAAGTATTCATTTATGAAATCCAGCCAATAAAGAGATAAACCAAAGTAAAGAATTCAGGAAACAGACAGTGGTGAGCACAGAATTATTTAAATACATAATCAAGATGAAACAGCTCCAGTAATGAGGAAGTCAATGTTCTAAAATCTTGACAACAGAAAAATAATTAACAAAAATTTGCAAGTTTACAAGGAGAAAATGAAAGGATTTCTAGGGAGGGGCTAATGCCATCATATTTCTCAACAGGGAGTGCTCCATACCCTCTTGAATAAAAACATAATTAGAAACCACTCTAATCTTGTTTGTCAACTGTAATTCAATAAAAAAACTACCCTAATCATTTGTGTGTTTATAATTTTTTTTCTTAAACCAAAAGTGATTTTTGAAAAACATTAAATTTTGAAGTAATTCTAGAATTACGGAGAAGCTGAAAAAATAACACAGAAGATTCTGTGTGTACTTCACAGGTTTCTCCTAATGTTAACATTTTACATGATCATTCATAGAGAGTTATCGAAACCAGGAAATCAACACTGATATAATATTATTAACAAAACTACAGACCTCATTAAAATATTGCCAGTTTTCCCAATCTTGTCCTTTTTCTGGTCCAGAATCCGATCCAGGATGCCACATTGCACTCTGTTGTCACTTCTCCTCAATAATTTCCTAAGAGAGAGCTGTTAAGACATCATATCACTTGTGTGGGGAAAAAAAAGCATTTGAAAATCAGCAATTACTTCAATTTCACTTCAGTTTCTTCTTTTTCTTTAAAGTCAGGTAAAGTTAAATTTAATACTCTATTTGAAATGCTATTGCAATAACACCAGAGTCATGTGAGTTGAGTAAGAGATTAATATCTCAATATTCTTCAGAAAAAACTAATCAAGGTGCTGAGATGCTCTTTGAAAACCCTTATTTAGCCAGAAAATAACACCATGCTTGGGGACGATTGTAGGCAATGAGAAACCTTTGAAAAGTTATCAATCACAGAAGGGAAATGATTTGTTTGCTTCAAAACATACCTGTAGCAGCTATGCAGGGAATGAATTAGGGGGTTCACCCAGAGGGGAGGCAAGTTGGTAAGCTGGGAGGCTGATAACACAACATGAAGACCATGTAGGAATCCATCTAGTTCTCAGTAACAGAAACTCCAAGTGTCAGTGGCTTACCCAAAGGAGGGGTTTCCTCTTTTCACAAGAAATTTAGAGGTCAGCAGTTAGCTATTTCCCCCAAGAATCCAGGATCCTTTTTTTTTTTTTTTTTGGGGGGGGGGGGGGGGGGTTCTTTCTTTCTGTTCTATCTTATTACTTCATGGTTCCAAGATAGCTACCACAGCTCCAGACATCACAATCATGTTTAAAGAAAGAAAAAATTCAGGCAGGGTAAAAGGCAAGCCTCCATGAGAGTTTTGTTTCCCTCTTCTTGGTCACAACTGCCAATCTTTGCTCACTAAGGGCAAAAGAGGCTGGGAACATGAGTAGCCTGAGTTATAATGGACATTATAGACACAATGACACTTCCAGTGTAGAAGGAAAGATGTACATTTGGGGTAAGCAATTAACAATGTCTGTCAGACAGGTGTGACATCAAGAGCCCCAAGCTATGTCAATGAATGGGAGCTGGAGATGAGTGAGTTTTACATATGAGATATTTAGAAGACAGGAAGGGCAGAACTTGGTGACCGACCGGCTCTCAGGGATGAGGAGGAGAGAGGAATGAAAGATGCCTCTCCTGCTTCTGAGTTGGCAGAACAGGTAGGTGAATGGCAGTGTTAGGACTCCAGGGGAAGATGCCACCTGCTACCTCCTTGGGGAGTCCAGTATACTGAGCAGTGTTAGGAATGTGTTCCTTGGTGAATTTTTAAAATAATAATCAAAACAACCACCATCTAATAAGCATATAAAATGGGCCAGGCATGGTATTAACTGTTTTATTTGCATTATCTCATTTAATCTTTGTAACAACTAACGACTCAGTGCATTTGGCCTGTTTTGGTCATTGGAATATCACTAGTGTCCAGAAAAGCACCTGGAACATAGAGTACTCTTAAAATATTAAACAAGGGAAGAAAGACCAACAGGATTATCATTATTTTATAGGTGAAAAATCGAAGGCTCAGAGAAATTTTTTCAAAGATTTATTTATTTTAGAGGTGGAGGGAGGGGTAGAGGGAGAGGGAAAGAGTGAATCCCAAGCAGGGTCCAAGCTGAGCTAGGAGCCCCACTCAGGGCTTAATATCATGACCTGAACAAAAGATTGAGAGTCAGACACTCAACCGATTGAGCCACCCAAGCGTCCGTGAGATTCAGGAAGGTTAAAGGGCTGCCTCACAAGGTCACATACCTGTAGACTGGTGGACTCAAGAGCTCAATTTAGCTCTGTGCTTTTCCATCATGGTTTACCACCTTCCTGTTAAACTAAGATGTGAAACTCCCACTTCAGAGACGGTGGAACCACAGGGAAATTGGAAGCTTTCCAGATACCAAATCCTTTCATAGCTTCCAGATCAGACTTCCCAGTGTCTCCCCACCCAGTCGTTTGTCATTCTAACATCCTTAATGCACTCCAGTCACTCTCTGCTCACTCCGAGGTCTTCTCAACCTCAAAGCAGTCCTTGGGCTCTTCTTGCTGCCCTGAAAGCTCAATTTGGCTCCCAGGTGGATGGATGGCTCTTTCTCACCCATCAACTCTCAGAAGCCATCCCTGACTACAAGACTAAGTCAAGTTCCCCAGGGATAGGATCTCCATACACCACCTACCCCTTTTCTATAGCACTTCTTGGGGCCTGTAACTAAAAAGATACAGGCATGAATATCTGCTCGTTTGCTGAACTCAGGCTAGAATGTTTACTGTATTTCCAGTGTTCAGCACAGTGTGTGGCACATAGCAGATGCCTGAAGGGATAGACTCTGATGGACTTGTGGATATGATGGATGGATGGTGGGTATGATGGATGGATGGATATAGTGAATGAATGAACAAATGGCTGGAGGAACACATTTGGATGGATGCTCTAGGTAAATACCAGATGCTATGTATGGACAGAAAGACAGCTGGATGGATGGGTGGATACATAGATGGATGGATGGATGGATGGATGGATGGATGGATGGATGGATAGATGAGAAGATTTCCTAGACCACCTATCCCAGAATGGTCTCCATCTCACCGTCCAGATTCCTTGGGCTGCGGGTTTTGATGGCTCCTTCTTCCTTTGCTGACAAAGACTGCCTGGTTGGGTATCACCTGAGCCCACACTGCTGGGAAAGTAGCCAAAAGATTCCAAATCTGACTTGGGTGTGCAGCAGCAAGAAACTGTGGGCTAGTGTGGAAATATCCTCTCCCTGGGGAGAAGGTGGGCCCATGGCAATTATGCAGCAAAAAGGGTTCTCAAAGTATATCTGTCTTGCACAACAGGTTAGAGTTAAATTTGACCTGAGCCATACATCACGCTGTCAGGCTCCCATTCAACCACATCACTGAGCCAACAACCTTTGTGAGTGCTACTATTTATACAGATACAAAAACATGTATTTACACAGACAGGGGTATGGGCGCAACTGAAGCATTCTGATTAATTGTATCCTTGGGGAGCAAGACTTCTTTCATCACTCTTCCTTACAGTAGAAGCTGGTTCAAGGATGTAGAGATGGAGGGCTTTGAAAGGCCAGGAGTGGGAGGTGTGGGAGATCATCGATTCACTTGGCAAACACTTCCTGGTACCCACTCTGGGACAAGCCCTTGGGAGTGGGAGTGGGGTGGCAGAGGGTATGAAATTAATAAGACATAATTTTGCCCCCATTAAAGTCTGCAGGTGCTGCTGACTGACAGGAGGAAGGATGGTGGGTGGTTGAGGATTTAGACTCTTGTAATCAAGTAGATGGAGATTGGAATCCCAGCTTCACCTTGTACTTGCTGTGTGACCTTGGCAAGATGTGTCAAGTCTCTGAGCCCAGGCTTTCACGTCTCTGGGTAAAAAGAGTTATAAACTCTGCCTTCCAGAGTTTATGTGAGTCTGGAATGAGACAATGACGGTAAAGCCTGGCACAGAGTAAGCACTCAAGAATTCCCATCATGGGCCCATCATGATCATAGCTAATACTTTTTCCAGGGTTCCTTATGTGCCAGGTGCCTGGGCTAGCTTGCTTATTCCTCACAATGGCCCTAGGGAAGATACTCTTACATCCCCTCCATTTTTCAGATGAAGAAAGTGGGACACAGAGATATTAAGTGACTTGGTGCTCAAGGTCATACTTCTACTAATGAGTGGGAAAAGCCTTGAACTCAGAATACCAATGCAGATCCGGGGGGGGTCAGAGAACCACCCCAGGATTTCTTTAGCACCCTTCCAGCACCCTTTTCTTAACTGCGGTGATCCTTCTGGGGACATTGCTTCTTTGATCATTATCATTGCTAAGAGCCCAGTGTTTCCTAGGAGCCGTACTGTGTGGTGTTCACGATTTGAAAAGATTCATAGAAATAGTGATGAAATGAAGAGTCTAACTCAAAAAGCATCGTGTAAGGAAAGACTTGAACTCCAATCAGGCTCTGATGTCACTCTCCTGCCATTGGGCTTTGGACCACTCACTTACCCTCCAATGCCCTCTCAGCTACTTCTTTAGCAAACACCTCTCTGGTCACTGTTTTGTTTTGTTGTTGCGTTGTTTTGAATATAGTTGACACACAATGTTACATTTGTTTTGGGAGTACAACATAGCGATTCAACAAGTTTATACATGACGCTATGCTCACCGCAACTATATGGACACATCGCTACTATAATACCATCAACTCTGTTCCTGATGCTGTGTCTTTTATTCCAGGATTTTTTCATTCCATGACTGATCACTGTTTTTAACATTTTACTAATATTAATCTTCATAACAATTCTAGGAAGGAGGAACGATTATATCTCCATTCTGTGGATGGGAAAACTGAGACACAGAGAGGTCAGGAAACTTGCCAAGGTCAGACAGCTGGTAAGGACAGAACCAGGATTCAAACCAGGCCACCTGGCTTCATGGTCATCAGTCCTCTTACGCATGATGCTCTTTACTGTCTTTACTCGCCTTATCACATTCTACGTATCCTCCCAACAACCCACAGTGGGTAAACATTTTCATCTCTGTTTTACAGATGAGGATGCTGATGCTCAGAGAGGTAACACCACTGACCTAAGACCTCTGGGTCATGAGTGGGCGGTGCCCCAAGATAGAGGCCAGGTCTGCCATAGTGAGGTGTTCTCCACACAGCTGCACTGGGATCTTCCTGGGGCACAGATCTGATCAGGCCACTTGCCGATCAGATATAGGCCTTGGCTCCTCGACGCCCTCAGGATGAAGTCCAACCTTGCTAATTGGGTTGACCTGATGACCAGTGCGCTCCTACCCGGTCACTCACCATTCTGGCACGATGGGGTCAAAGGAATGACAAGCACCTCCCAAGGGTGCCAGACCCTCTGTCCCAGCTCAGCAGGTATCCTGCTCTGCTGCCCCGACAGATCCTGGAACCTCCCACTCCACACCCTATGGAAACAGAAGTGCCCCACCTCCACCAAGTCCCTGTGACTTCCATGGGGCTGTGCCTGGTCACCTCCGTTGGCTGTATCTGGGCCACTGTCTCTGATATCTCAGCAAACCCCACAGGCAGCCCCCACCACAAGCACCACCAAATCCAGAGGCACAACCACATGTGCT